CAACACTTCTAATGTTAAAACAAACAACAGGGGCGATAGTGGACAGCCTTGTCTCGTCCCTTTTGTTATGTCTATCTGTTCTGTTAAATCTCCGTGGAATGCTTCTTAAAGACCAGCATATTTTAAGTCTTAGATCATTTTCCTCTTGCATAAAGTATTTCTAACCCACACCATCAATTAGTCAGCCCTCTTCCAGCTGCTCTTATAAACCAAGATTTATAAACCAAGTTTACAACTCTAACAAACCAAGATGGATACAACTTCAGAAAAACAAATTGCTTAGAAAAATGAGCCCAAACATGCTTTGGCTGAACATACTAAAGCTGATTCATCAAAACTAGAGAGACTGGATGGTTGCCTCATTAGAATCTATGTTAAACATGGAGTCCAAAGTGGTGTAGATACAAGCAACTTTGCAAATTAAGCAGAATTTCCAAGGGTTTCTGCAATTAACAGTCCTTTAATCACTTAGAACAATGCCACTGGCTTCATCGTATTAATGGAAAAAGAATAGAGCAACTGTCTGTTGTCTTCTCACACTGTCAAACGGGCTCTGTGTTTGATCACATTGGCCCCAGGACATTCACCATCCTTCTAGTCATTTACCCAAATGCTTCATTGCTCTAAGCTCTCAAAAAACCAAGGGAGCCCCTGCTTATCCATCCAAGAGAAGGCAATTAGGAGCAATTATGTCAATTGTCCACGTAATCTCCCTATTCTACAGTTCAACTGGAGCTTCAACAGAAATATACTCCAGAAGCAGGAAAATCCTCCAGAGCATTTGAAATGCTTTTCAATCCATTAATTGGACTGCTTTAATCCTGCAAAGGTCCCAACAAACCAAAACATTAGGAGGTAATGATCTCTTTAGAGCAGATTGACTGGGAATTCTGGAAGTTGTCTTTCAAGAGATTTGGCAAAGAAAGGTCTTAAACCATCCAGGAATACCTGGCATGTAGTTTAAAGGGACAGTGGTAGAGGCTTATTTCATAAGATACTAGATATATGGATGCAAATATACAAAAAGGGGAGAAGTGCCTTGCTGATCCAACTGGAGTTAGAAGTGCTATTTGGAAACTAGGAATTAAAGGAGAGTTCAATAAGTTTAAGAAAAAAACAACAACCAAGAAGAAAAGAGTGAGAGAGAATATTCATTCTAAGGAGACAGATTTTATTTTTAAATTTTCAAAGAATACTTCAGAAAATATATTTACATTTGAAAAAACTGACAATGTTTCTCAGGCTCTCCTTTACATCCTAGGAAGGGACACTCTTCCTTCCTCTGGAAATAACCTACAAATTGCATCTTCAGGATCCCTGAGAGTCTTTTAGGATGGTATGGATGGCCTTGTATTTCTGCTGCAGTTCTTCAAGCTTTGAGGCTAAAAAAGTAAGATATCAGCTCCATCTCTTCATCAACACATTCTGGCTAAATCCAATTCTTCCTACTTTTCACATTTCATTCTCTCCTAGCTGTCCATCGTACCTTCCCCAAATTTCAGTCCCTAAAGAAAAGACCTTCGCCCCAGGGTTAAGGTGGGTCAGCTAAGAAAGCACCCCATTCATAATTCACACCTCCCCACACACTAAGGAGCATCAGAAAGAGAGCAGTATAGGAAGAGGAGCTGACATTTATAAGGAAGAGCAGGCCACAGGAGACACAAGACTTACGTAACGTGGCTATGGCGCTTCCATTCCAGAACACCTTCTGCTCGTGCCGCCGTTGTACTGTCTCCATAATGCATTCTGAGGTTTCAGTAACCTGGGCCAGGCCTTGCAGCTCCTGAAGACAAGAATATTCAGAGAACAAAAACAGGCAGCTTCTTTAGTGGCATTTTATCAACTCCAACTGCTCAGGATTTTGTGCTCCAGATATCAATAGCTGTGATGAGACAGGGTAAGAAAGAGGGGAGCGAAAAGCCCACTCCAGAGAATTTTTTAAAAGTTAAGACATGGGGGGAATCATGTGATAACAAAATCATGAAGCACTCTGGAAAGCTAACAAATATATTGTAGCGCAGGCTTCATGGAGTAGAGGACATTTCTATCTGATGGGCTCTCAGTGTGCCATTACTGGCAGGGGACAGATTTATGTGGGAAGAAATAAATTCCTGAATTTAACAACCTAACTGCTGCCTCTTGTATTTTATAGACTTTTGGTTTTATTGAACACATCGTTTATTTTTGTATGAACATACACCTGCCCTCTTTCTTTTATTAGAGGTGGGCTCTGACTCTCAAGCATTTATGTCACAAAAGTCAAAGACACCATAAGAGTCATGTTTAAAGAAAGCTATTCTAGTAAAAGAAAAAATATATGAAAAATAGATAACTTCCAATCTATCTCTGGTCTTCAGAACAATAAGACTATCATAAGTGCTAGTTTTTAATACATTAAGTAGGAGTAATTCTTTGTCAAAACATATCCCATTACATTTATAATCTAATCTTATTCTTTAAGGTAATAGTTATTTGAGTTTTCTTTTAATAAGCAAGTCAATTTATCATTTTCTGCCATTTTCTTTTCTTTTACTTTATCTCACTTTTTCTTTTCCTTTTCTTTATAATTTGTATTTTCAATTTTTTTTCATTTCTAACTTTTAACTTTGTAACTTTAAAATTTCAATAAAATATTATTAATTCTTTAAGGTAATAGTTATTTGAGTTTTCTTTTAATAAGCAAGTCAATTTATCATTTTCTGCCATTTTCTTTTCTTTTACTTTATCTCACTTTTTCTTTTCCTTTTCTTTATAATTTGTATTTTCAATTTTTTTTCATTTCTAACTTTTAACTTTGTAACTTTAAAATTTCAATAAAATATTATTAAAAGAAAGCTATTCTAGACAGCTAAACATGCATGCACAGCCAGCTACCATTATTACAATTCCATCTGTTTAGAAATGTTTAGAGATAGGAACACTGGTACTTAGCATGAAACCAAGCTCCTACTTGTTCATAAGGCAGGGAATCACTGACTGTCTTGTACCGATCTGATCCCTTCCAGAC